TGAACAGTCTGTATAACACCTGGCCTTTTTTACTATTTATTTGTGGATAGAAATATTTTACTGTAGTTGATATCCATGTCATATTGAGAGCCAATGTGAAATGTAGCCCCTTGGTCTAGGTCTTAGGAGACCTCAGAGGATTTAGACCTTAGGAAATGATGCAAATTCCTGGTTGTCCATGAAATTTATCAGTTGTCATAGCTGCTAAAGAAACCTTCATCAGATGGGGACAAAGAGGCCTGCAAAAGTGGATCACTCTCAGGACCCATGGAAGATCAGGCTTCAGGAGGAGCCAGGGAGCCTTAGGGAGGACAGTAGAGGGTCCACATTCTTCAGAGGAAAGGTACCCAGTGGCAAAGGAGAGCTGTCTCTAAGTCCCTGAGAGTAAAGACACCTAAAGCTGCACAGCAGAATGGAAGGAACACAAAATTGCAGCCAGAGGTCTCTTGACTGTGAGGAATATCATCTGTGAAGGTCTGTTGTTGGTAGATTCTAATACAGTGCAGTTGCACTGTGAGTAGAGAATTGGCAACATTTAAGTAAAAAGATGAGCCCTACCAGCATGAGCTGTTGGGAGCGATGTATCCAAATGCTGAGTCTGGACCTCTGGTTTCCCACACTTGAACAGATGACTGGATTGGTACAGCTTTCTCTATTATGACTTTGGTTCTGTTCCTGGACCCCTCTTTTGAATGACCTTTAACTACCATGTTTACTAACTCATGTGTTGCTGGCATTGGCTCAGTTCCTTGAACATTCCTTTCATGTATTTCTTGTTGACTTGTGCACTCCATGTGAGACCCACCAGCCTGCTTTGGGGATATTGAGACTGCGCAAGGCACCTGCTACCTCAAACCGTGGGCCAGCCATACCTTTTTAGTCTAACCTATCCCACAAGAATTTTTACGAGAAAGAAATGAAGAGGAGATAAGCCAGGTGCACGTCAGGAATGGCAGGATCTAATGTAAGACACAAATACGGTAGGAAATCACATCTATCAAGTGCTTACTGAAACTTGAGCCATCTATGTGTTGCCAAATATCCTGCCCTTTTCAATGGCATGTTGAAGGGATGTAATCATTTTCTTAATTATTTGTAGAAGTATCTAAAATGTTGCAGCTGGTGCTCTCTGGATATGATGGAACAGAATGCAGGGTGACTATAAGTAGAGTCAACTACATCATCATCATCATTATTTTAGAACTGCACAACTAGAAGGGACCCTATGGATCATCCAGTTTGGTACCCATGCTCCTGTCTTGCAAAAACTCTAAGGGTGCAATCAGACAGTGCAAAAGGCACACATCCAATCACACAAGACAAGGTTGCTTTGGGGAAGTGATCTCCCTTAAAGCAACCCTTTCCATCTGCCGAGGAGTTGCTGCATCCCAATCCCAGAGAGTAGTAGTCCTGCAGCTGGACCAAAAAGATCCAGCTTGGGCATGGATTGGGGTCAGGAAATTCCCCATATGTTGTCTGATTGTTGGAAGATAAATCACACGTGCTTCACAAGCAATCCAAAATGCAATCTACTTCCCAATGTGATCATACCTTCCATAGGCATCCTTCAGTCTCGAGAGACTATGGTAACATGCTCTGTATCGAGAATTGTCCTCTCCAGAGCATGAAGCCTGGGTAAAGTAGTATAGAGGATAGGCTGTTACCCAAGCAGCAAATCCCCCCTCTCCACATTGCTGAAATGGTCCAATGGAAAGGCAAGAGCCAATACAACTGGTTCTAGCAACATCACAGGAATTGGCAGAACAACACGAACTGCCTTCGGGACTCCAGCTCCGGATTTTGCCTCTAGGTTAACTCCTGAAGCCTTTTCCATGAGTGGATATAAGCCACAAGGCAGTGGAGGTTTGAAATTGAAATTTTCCTTCTCCTAGATGGCCTGCCATTCATACCTTAAGCACCTGTAATCGATACACGGTGTTGAATTATGCTTCAATAAATAGATAGATAGATAGATAGATAGATAGATAGATAGATAGATAGAGAGAGAGAGAGAGAGAGAGAGATAGATAAATAAATAAGTTGGGTACTATCACACCTGATTTTGTAGTGGAAAGAAAAGGTGTATGGCACCCACCATCTTCTACCCCTTAGAGTTTGTACAAGTCCTCTGGCTCGGCAAGCAACCTCATGAAGACAGACTTTGGCCCCATAGGTTTTGACTTTGATTAAAGGGAAAAAAAGAAGTGGGCTTGCTCTCTATTATAGATTGCAAATCTATTTCAATCAAACTACAAAGACTGCAGTCCTACACACCCTCACATATGTATATATCCATTTAGAATTCAACCATCTATAATAAAATTAGATATTTTTTTTTCTTTGAATATTTCTTAAGTCTATTGGAGGTAAAGGTGGACAAGGACTCTGTATATAAAATGGGTCTGGCTAAGTTTGCCCATGACTCTGAAGTAGTTCTTCCAAGTACTTTCCTGCCCAGTAACAGGTAACACCAAGAACATTTGGGCAGCTAGTATCAAGTCTCATACCAGAAGTTTTGGGGCATAGAGGACACTGGCATAGGTGCGAATTTTTCAGTCCCCCCCCCATCACAAAGGACTGTGTTTGTGCAAAAACCCAATTTTCTTAGGTTCACTTTGCTTTGGTCAGCTGGACTCCATAGCCTGTTAGTGACTTCTAGGAAACCCAGTTCTTTGTGTGACCAAGGTTCCATCCAATTTAAGATGTGTTTAGTTCTTTCTTTCCACATTATAGTTTTAGCAATTTTTTGCAGTTCCCTTTAGACTTACTGATTTTCTTGGGGGTGGTGGGTGTTACATGCAGCACTGATGTTACCTGTCTGTCATGGGTTTGGAGGGAAAGTTCCATCCTATGGAGAGTGGAAGGCGGGACATCAGGAGGAGGGGCTGTACTGTATAAATATGTGATGCCTGTGTGGTGGAACACACACTCTGGGAGATGCTGAGAGACACTAGGTTGTGACGAAGCAGCAGCTGGGAAGAAGAAGCTGTTGTGGGAGTCTGTGTGTCAGACAGGGTACTACTGTGTGTCAGAGTACCAACCTGATAGGTTCAGGTGTCTGTTGGTTAGCCAGAACTGATAGGTTCAGGGTCTGTGCTTTAAGTTAAGGTTCTGGGTGAACCAAACTGTATGCTTGGATGAGTGAGAATAAGCCACGTTACTTTATCCTATTCACCTGATTGTTTATTTTTCCCTGTGTGTATTTAAATAAACCTAATTCTGTTTATTGTTTGAAAATCCATCCCTGGTCTGTGTGACTTCTTACAGGGAATGGTTGGTGGCAGCTTAGTGTAACTGTGTGACATATCCCAGTAGGTCAGCTGGACTCCATAGCCTGTTAGTGACTTCTAGGAAACCCAGTTCTTTGTGTGACCAAGGTTCCATCCAATTTAAGATGTGTTTAGTTCTTTCTTTCCACATTATAGTTTTAGCAATTTTTTGCAGTTCCTTTTAGACTTACTGATTTTCTTGGGGGTGGTGGGACCTTTTCCTTGATTTTAATCTGGTAGGATCCTGATGCAGTTCTTATCACCTCCAGAAGGTGGCAAAAATATCATGAATAGTTCTCATTAGTGTTCAAAATGTGCTTCCTGCTTGCTGAACAACAGCTGTCTCATCTGTTGTGTTTGCCGTTTTGCAGCCTGGAATATATGGTTGAGAAGGCAAGGCATCTCTGTGTAGGTGATGGCTTTCTGTAATTATCCAGCATTGTGCAGCTGGTAGCCATAACTTAAGAATGTGTTTTCAGTGTGGGATTTTGTGAGGAGTTTACCCAAAATGTAGTACCAGAAATGCCTAGAAATAAACTGCCTGTGTGTGAAAGGGGGCGGGGAGCTGACTTAATGGGCTTTCCTAGGATATTATGCAATGCAAAGGTTTCCGACAAAAACAGAAGTGGTGCAAATGGTTTCTGCTGCTTCTTCTGTTGTTGTTAACAGCATAATTTGGCATAATAAAATGATACTGTCAGAAAAAAAAACAGAACAAACAGAAGAAGAGGAAGTGAATAAGGAAATTAACACGGGCCTATGTCAGCCCATGATGCTCCCAAGGCCATTTATGACCCTCAGAGCCCTTTCCCCATTGTGCGAAAAAGAAGAATTCTACCTCCAGAAGTGGGAGGAGGGAGAGGTGATTCTGCTGTAAACAGAGAACCTTATCTGATATGGCAATCTAGTTTTGTAGTGGTTCCCCCATGAGTGTACCCAAAGCCTATAATATAGGCATATGCAGAAATTTGTGATATTGGCCAGAATCCAATGGTATGCTTTTGCCTACTCTTTCAGATAATGTTGTGACTAGAGCATAGAAAAAATACTTCTGGTTCTGCAGGCATGGCTAAAAAAGAAGGGCGAAGAAAGGAATGCAAGGGCCTGGGCTTCTTTCCCCTTGCACTAAACTATGCTTCAGTGCTTTGTCCAGTTCTGGCCACATTGTCCCTTTAGATTCTGAAAGCCACATCAATTATTCCTTAAAGGAGATCGGGAGGAAAGAATGAAGTTTAGTTATCTGACATGCTAAGAGGCAAAACAGGAGGCAATAAATTTAAGGTACGAAGAAAGATGATGTGCGGGATGGATCATCCCACAATATGGAATGGGAGGAGTGAAGGAAAATTGAAGTTTTCCTTTGTTTTAAACACTTTAAGATTTAAAAAAAAAAACAGTATGTAACAGATATATCAGTGAAACTCTGTTTAGGATTTTCCCAGAAAAGAGAGAACCTCATTTGGACAAGTTGCCCCTGACTCTGAGCTTGTCATAATGCATCATTTGATATATTGGACATTAATCAGTTGGTGCTCAGTATTGTTTGGAATACGCTTCTTAAACACAGGAATGTAAAACACATTTAAGGACATGTCTGACGATGTGGGAACATGATTCTCACCTTTACATATTTTTAGCTTTTGCACAGGATCAAGGTGGAAGAAACAGTCGTCACTCACATTGCTTCTGCATTTCACTACGTTCTGTTCACAGCTTCTTTTCTCTTTTCAGGGATATGAAGTTGATGAGCATGCAGCCCTTCAGGCTCGATGGGAAGAGGCATCCAAAGAGACAATCAAAAGAACAACCAAACCATGCCCTCGCTGCCATGTTCCTGTAGAAAAGGATGGTGAGTTTAGGGACAAATACCCAACGCTTGTAGTCACTGCATTTCCCAACAACAATGTTGCTTAGAAACTAAAACAACATAATACGAGTTGGGTTATCAGTATTTCTCTCTGGCTTAGCTTAGGAGTCTGGTTTGTTGTCCTCACTTGGAATCAGAATTCTTGACCTAAATCCAGTTGTTAACCCTACATAGAATAAACCCATTAAGTCAATGGGAATTTGGTAATTCAACACTTGCATAACTTTCATTGAGTATGTTTACCTTGGAGTAACATTTGATTAGGCAATTGTCCCCAATACTTTGGAGTTACAGTTCAAGATTCTGCAGATGTAGGTTCCAACTGTGTGTGCTGTGAATTAATGGAAGAATTACATTAACCTTCTAGAAACTCAATCTTTTGGTACAAAACATGTTGGATTATGTATGATTAAAACATTACATCTTTATTTGAGACTAATAAAGAAATGGCAAAATTATAATTTTCCATGCCTCTAAGCAATAAATGTATAAAATCAACCTTGGTTGAAACATAGATACGGAATATATGAACAAAATTAATGCTACTGGAAATCACAGAATGAGCCTGCTGATGAAGTAAACAAAACTGAAATCATAACACAGTAAGTGCACATTTATTGATGTCATACTAATTGTTTTTCAGATTGTCCTGGTTTTTTACATTTGTTTTTACACTTTTGCTAAGAAATTGTCTCTCACTTGTGATTTCTTGGTTTTGTTTGTGTTTTACTCCAGGTGGGTGCATGCACATGAAGTGTCCTCGACCTCAGTGCAGATTTGAATGGTGCTGGAACTGTAGCCTTGAGTGGAACAGAACTTGCATGGGAGATCACTGGTTTGATTGAGAACAAAATAAACCTGTGCATGGCGGAACCTCATGCAACCAAATGCTGGTATTACAGAATGTAGAAGCACAAATACTGCGACGTCCGCCAGGATCAAATCCTGAACTCTGTAGTCAGTGTGTGTGATTTTTTTGTTGTTGTTGTTAACGAAGAGCTCTTCAATCACTTGTATATCAGATAAACAGAATCAGAATCAGATGATTCTTCTCCTTCCTAACCAGATTTTGGAGAAGTCATGTTTTGGATCACACAACTCCCTGGACCTACCATGGCCAGTAGGTTCTGGAAGTTGTAATATTAAAAAGAAAAAAAGAAAAAACAAAAAAGAAAAAACCTTCTCCAGGTACAAAATTCAAAACAACATGGAAGAAAAATCAAAATCACCAGGTTGTCATTTGTTAGGGTATCATATCCCCTCACTCCACCAGTATTGTCCACTGGAGTTCCTCCTTTGGGAACAACAGATAATTTCACTAACAGCAGGTCATATTTTTATTTGTTGCCTTCTTTGACCTAATTCTAGATCTTTGTAAATAATTTATTGTGTGTCTTTGGTAAGGAAACATGGATAATTTGACTACTCAGAACTGTTTCAAGTATTGAGGTCCTACATCCAACAGCATTGCTGCTTTGGGGTCGGGCTAGGTGCCTCACACTTTCCATTCTAAAAAAGATTGCTTTTTCTGACTTGTACAGTAGCCCAGTCTCTTCCAAGACAGATGTTCAGCTCTAGCCCTGCCCCAGACCTAAGAGAAACCCAGCAGATACTATATTTCGATTTTTGGTCCTGTTTCCAATATTGGGTGGAGTTTCAGCATGTGGTGTGAAGCATCATCTAGTAGTATACCCATTACTAGGGGGAGAATTTCTATGAAATTTCACAGTTTCCTTGTAACCTACATTTGAATCTATAAGCAAGTTCAAGCATGTTTATGAGTAACCTGGCCTTTCTGACTAGATTACTCATAAACATGCTCAAACACACCCATAAGCTCAAACATAGATTGCAGGGGGGAAATGACATGTCATGGAAATTGTCCCCCTACTCATTACTCTTTCATGTAAGCACCAATTGAAGCCATATGCATCTGTCAATAGCTGTTTTGCAGGTGACTGTTCTGTGGGATGCAGTGTAAACATGGGCTTATACTATTATAGAACTTATATCAGGAAATTTAGTTGATGTTCAGTAGGGTGGATTTCATTTAAAATGACTTTTTTGATTATTTAAATAACTTTTTAATTTAAATAAATTTGATTTTTAAAATATCATTATTTTTATCCCCTTAATTTCAGTAGTATCTTATTATGAGCCTTTGTAGAAGTCATCTAATGTTTTAAAATACAACACTGTGATCACTACGCACACATTTCCCTTTGTTTGACCTTTTGAAATGCATGCCTTTGCTTGCAGATATTAACGCTCAGTCCCCAAGTTTACAAAAATGACACATTTTAGATATTTTAAGGCAACCCTTCCCTAAAAACCTTTAGGACACAAAGCACGCTGCGTGCCAATATACAACACAGGCAGATTATTCCACCGTTTGCTCATGTCATCACAATGCTGAGCAAATAGGAAGCATCTAGAACCTAGGTTCTAGGTCATCACTTCTCCAGCTGGCCAGCTGCAATAAAGAACTGACTGAATGCATGCTAACTGACAACAAGGATTTTATGAGCTTCTCTCACATGGCCCTGGGCAATTATATCTTTCTGCTTGCTGTGGACAATTCCTTCAAGTGCACATGCCAAGAATAGCTGAATGGTCACTTTAATTTAATAAAAGAACAGTGGTTTAAGTTACTTAAGTCATTCTGCATTGAAACACAGATTGGTTGATGGGAGATTTGGATGCCTATTGAATGATCTGCCTACCTGCACTGGTGGCACGTGACAGTTTTAGGATGTTATAGTAGAAAACCCCTGTCTTCAAACACAGGACATTGCTAAACTCCTGTAAACCAGGGTGGGGTGATGGAGGAGATGTGGCAGGTCATACGAGGAGTTCTGAGTTCTGACTAAGAGAAAAGGAGGAAGGCAGTGGGAAAAGAAAAGAGGTCATTATTTTCTTTTGCTTAGTGTGCCTTGCCTTGAAATCAGAGCTCTTTGGCTCAGTCTGATTGAAGATAAACTTGTTGCTCCCATTTAAGCTCAGTGTGACTGCTTGAAACTATGCTACAGTACTGTGTTGTACCAAGTGCTGAAAAAGTTAAACATTTCCTGCAAATTATTTACAGCCGAGCAAGGCTTTCACCATCAGGTTAGCAGCAGCTTAGAAGCAACAATAACTGGTTTGGACCTTCAGCGAGTTTCTTGCATAGTTGAGATCAGTGGAAGAAGATAGCCGTTGCTAACTAACGTTTAATCAATTTTAATGAAAGTGTGCTCAGTATAAACTTAATTGACCTGGATGGGTTCACATGTATACTTTTCACTGGACAAATTGTGTAAAATCAAAGCTACTTTCAAGATACTGGCATATTGATGGTTACATTTAGGATTGTGCCAAAAATAAATCATATGAAAGAATTCTCATTCTGTTTTGTCTCATGCAAAATCTAGGGAAAACATTTAAGTCCCTTTGTGATGTCTGGCTGAAGACATTAGGCATAAAAATTAAATAACAAAGTCCATCTGTGTTTACATCTATAATTGTTACACATATGCTTAATCATTAAAGGCAGGATTCTGTTCCTGCACTCATTAGTGTTCTGGAAATTAAATGGAAGCCAGTAGAGTACTCACAATGAATACTACTGCATGTAAGGTTGGCAACACTGGGTGCCAACCTTGTGTGTATTTACACATAAATCCACACAAAAGTGCACTTGTCCCCTCCACTTTTTTTGGTTTTATTCTTCCCCTTCCCCCGCTTATTATGCTAGCCTCTTAGAATCTCCTCTTTTTGGTGGAGGTGTCCCATACTCTATAATCTTCAACGGAATACAGATAGAGAGGGTTGGACACTTGGCTACACATTTTTGGTCTCACTGGAACTAGTTTGAGAATTTATATGCAGCAGATGGCTGGAAACAGCTCTTCAAGTGTTTCTGCAGCCTTTTACAGTTCTTCATGTCTGTCACTTGCTTTGATAATTAGGGTTTTCTTGCTGTAAACCTGAATGCCCCAGAGATATCTGAGAACAAATAAGACAGTGTGCTGCCTGTGGCTATTGGGGATGTCCTGCACCTCTTTTTGTAGGTAGCTAGTAACAGCCCAGCTCAATGTTCATAAAGTTTTAACTTCCTATCTTGCTATTAGTTGGTCTGGCTGATTTCTGAAGTAAGGAAGGTGATACTGTTTTGTTAACTTGCTTTACATTTAAAGTAAAATCTTCATGGAGTCAGACATGCAGAATAAGACTTTAAAAAAAGAATTAGAGCAGATTCATCAGTACCTAGAGCCCGCTTTCTCAGGTAAAAAAAACAACAAGCCAAACAGTTTGCCTGTACAAAAAGGCTAATTATAGCCTTTTACAAAACCCAACGGTGCAAGATCTAAATAAAATATACTGAATGTTGCCAGAGTGCATGTTACTTTGGTGCAGACATGGAATAACTACATCTGAAAATACTATAGTCGTCAAGTGTTCTTTGACTGTTTCCTTCTATTTCATTTGAACAAGATACGGTACATCACTGATGTAAGAACAAAGGAATGTGAAGTCCATACTACTATATTGTAGCTCTTCCCGCCATACAGTTATGATTGATCACTAACTTGCACAGTATCTCCCTCACAGAAAGGAATGACAGGGCCCCTCCCGTTTTGGCAGCTCTTTGTTTCTTAACCTCTCAATCCTGCTGTTACCTGAAGGGTTACAGACTGTACTCATGCCTTTTCCCCAAATGGACAGTGTGCAGCGGCGGTAAAGAGGTGAAATTTGTGGGGAGGTTTTTAAACCCCAACTTTTCCTTATGTAGGACTTGCTTTTGGTGGGAAACTTCTGTTCATAGATTGTGTTTCCAAGGGGAAATTTTTGAGCTGCAAACCAACAATCATGTTCAGGAGCTGCCTCTTTAAAGCAGGTTTAAAGAGGAAAAGTCCGTCTTCCTTGTGTTTGGGTGAGGTTTCTTTAAGATCCAGACTGAAATTGCATTGAAAAAGGTGTTGTGTTTTCTACAATGAGACTGAAGGTTGACTTCATTATTTATCTGGTAGCTTTTTTTTTTCTAAACTGTCTTACCATAAGGTCTTCAGTAAAAGCATACTTTCTTTTCCCAGCACCGAGGTTTATATATTTCTGCTTTTCAAAAGGCAAGGAAATTCCCAGTGAAGGGGACCCTTTGCTTTTAAGCAAAATGTTATACCTCAGGGTATATCCCCGGAAGCAATGATATTCAGAGATGAGCTGAAGCCAGAGGTAAGCTCCAGTATTTGATTCCTTAAAAATTAAAAACAAACGATAAAAAGAAAACACCTCTCCTTACCTAGGACTAAACCAATTGAAGTACAAAAAGACTTTTCTCCAAACATGGATCAAATAAGTTGAAAAAATCAAGGTTACTTAACTATGCGTAGGTCTGCTGCAAATCTGATTCTTGTAGATCTTAACACTATCAAAGCCAGTGTTTTTTTTTTCAGTTTTTCCTCACTACTAATAATACACTGTGTACAGAATGGAGTGGCATATAGGCTTGTTCTGCAGTCTTTGTTTGGGATGGAAATTAAAGTGCAAAAAGAATGCATTGTGAAAAATGCCCATGTTTTGAATAACATGGAGTTAATCTGTGGTATTCCTTTCTTAGCTTTGAGGCATATAAATTTAACTGTAATTTTCTGCTTTAAACCCAAAGGTGTTCTCTGTCTCTCTCTCTCTCTCCCTCTGTGTGTGTGTGCATGCGCGCACGCACACAAAATTTCTACAGAGTAAAAAAAGCAAATGCAGAATGGGGTCATAGGACAGTATGGGGAGATGAGAAAGCTATAATCCTATTGAGCAATTCCTATTGCAGATGGGGCCCAACAGTTTAGTCTCTCGTGTCATAAAATCACTAAATGAAAGGTCATGTAGGCATCCTTCAGTCTCGAGATACTATGGTAATGTGCTCTGAACAGAGGTCTTGGAACAACATCTAGTGTGGCTGAGAAGGCCCATTCGAGAGTGACCATCCCTTCCACTGAAGACAAATACAGGCTGTCCCCTGTCTAGCTCCCTGGTTTTGCTGCTTTCGGGACTGCTTCTTTGCCTGGGCCTGCTGTAAAAGTGTCTCTTCAAATTGGGAGAGGCCATGCTGCACCACCTGCTTCCACGCTGAACACTCAGATCTCAAAGTTTCCCATCTGTTGAGGTCCATTCTTAAAGCCTTCAGATCC